ACTGAATACTGATGAATCTGACCGAACACACTTAAGAGCCCACTATCGGGCCTATGCTGTGGCGGTGAGGGCGGCGAAAAAGAGATTTTTCTCCGCTTCCATTGCCTCCTCACAATGCCGTCCGGCGGAGCTCTTTCGAGTGGTGCAAGGCCTGGTCCGTCCAGGTCCGAAAGAAGATCTGATTCCACCCTCAAAGGCCCGCTGTGATGACTTTGCCAGGCATTTCAGGGAGAAAATCGCTCAGATTCGTCACGAGCTGGATTACACTATTGAGTCAGAGGTCTTACGGGAGACACCGATGCTACCGTCTGGTCCAGAATTATTGGATGAATTTCAGTTACTGCGGCCCGATGATGTGGACAAGGTGCTTGGACGAGTACATCCCACCACTTGCCTTTTGGACCCTTGCCCGTCTTGGTTAATAAAGGATTCCAAGCACGGGATTGGAACCTGGATCTTGGAAGTGGTTAACGCTTCTCTGAGGGAGGGTCGGGTGCCTGCCCCTTTAAAGGAGGCGGTAGTCCGACCGGTCCTGAAGAAGGCGTCACTGGATCCAGAGATGGCCACTAATTATAGACCAGTGGCCAACATCCCGTTTCTGGGCAAGGTGTTAGAACGAGTGGTGGCGGGACAACTCCAAGCACTCTTGGATGAAACTGATTATCTGGACCCATTTCAGTCCGGCTTCAGACCCAGGTACGGTACTGAATCTGCCTTGGTCGCCCTGTACGATGACCTGTGCAGGGAGAAGGACAGGGGGAGTGCGTCCCTGTTGGTTCTCCTGGACCTCTCGGCGGCTTTCGATACCATCGACCATGGTATCCTTCTGGATAGGCTTGCGGGATTGGGGGTTGGAGGCACTGCTTTGCAGTGGTTCCGCTCCTATCTCAATGGCCGATTCCAGAAGGTGGTGCTGGGGGACTATGGCTCTGCACCATGGCAGCTATGCCATGGAGTACCGCAGGGGTCCATTTTGTCCCCCTTGCTGTTTAACATCTACATGAAACTGCTGGGAGAGGTCATCAGGAGGTGTGGGCTGCGGAATCACCAGTACGCTGATGATACCCAGCTCTACCTCTCGTTTTCCACCAATCCAGGTGAGGCAGTGGCTGTACTGAACCGGTGCCTGGCCGAGGTAATGGGCTGGATGAGGGCCAATAAACTGAAGCGCAATCCAGACAAGACGGAGGTCCTGTTGGTAGGCGGTTCCGGCTTCGGAGAAGGTGAATTGAACCTTGTCCTGAACGGGGTTGCACTCCCTCCTAGGGATAAGGTCCGCAGCTTGGGAGTGCTCCTCGACCCGGAGCTTTCACTCGAAGCTCAGGTAACAGCAGCGGCGAGGAGCGCTTTCCTCCAGCTTCGGCTGATTCATCAGCTGCGCCCCTATCTGGAGTACGACAGCCTCACAACAATGACTCATGCACTGGTGACTTCCCGTCTTGACTTCTGTAACGCGCTCTACGTGGGGCTGCCCTTGAAGACAGTCCGGATACTTCAATTGGTTCAAAATAGAGCTGCCAGGCTGCTGACGGGAACTGGACGTTATGCTCACATGACTCCAGTTCTCCGTCAGCTTCACTGGCTTCCCATTGAAGTCCGGGCCCAATTCAAGGTGTTGGTGATGACCTATAAAGCCCTAAACGGCTTGGGTCCTTGTTACTTGAAGGAGCGCTTACGTCCATATATGCCCAGCCGCCCCTTGAGATCAGCAGGAGAGGCCCTCCTCCGGGAGCCCTCAGTGAAGGAAATTAGGAGGGTGGCTACTCGGAGGAGGGCTTTCTCAGCGGTGGCACCTAAGTTATGGAATGCGCTCCCCAGAGAGGTCCGCCTGGCGCCGTCGTTATTTGTTTTTCGGCGCAGGCGAAGACCTTTTTATTTATGCAGCATTTTAAATGTTAATATTATTGAATTTTATTCGGCCAGGGCGGCTTATTTTATTTTACTGTATATATTTTAATTGTCATTGTTTTAATGTATTTTGTATTCGATGTTGTAAGCTGCCCCGAGGCCTTGGCAAGGGGCAGCATAGAAATGTTTTAATAAATAAAAATAAATAAATAAATACTGTCCATTGTCCGCCTGGTGAGTAAGGAGTTCTGTGAGATACTGTGCTTTCACAGCTTTCATTGAAGAAAAGAAAAACCCCAAGTTTCTAATTTGTATGTTGTTGCTGAAATAAATATATGGGTAGCATGTGCTGAAATCTAGGAAACCAGAAAGGCTGACTTTGACTGAAAATGATTAAAGGTGCACCCCTAAAGCAGGGGTGGGCAATTTATGCACCAGCTGATGTTTTGGGGCCTGCAGCTTCCATTTATTCTGCACCATTAGCTATGCTGGCTAGTTTGTTGTCTAGAGAGCTGCAAGTTGCCCATTCCTGCTCTAAGGGATCCCTTCTCCTGTCCATATTTGTCTAGTTTTTATAATGTGTTCCAGATACTTGATGTGATTTCTCATGATGCACTGCTTGGATTTATTTAGTTGGTTTAGCACAGAATATACACAAACCTGTATAAACCTTCTTAAGAAATTATTAGAATTGTATCTATCCATGGTGCTCTCCATAGCACTTCGAGTATTACTCTGCAGTTTTGCTGTTTTGAACAGATACCTCTGTGACGTACATTGTTACACTATATTTTTTACTAGCATTTTACTAAGATTTCTTTCTTCTCTAACTTAAAAAAAACATGTTTTAATAAAAATAAATATCAGGGTATACTTATAAAAGGCGAGTTGATCCCTTTGATCTGACACTTCACATATGCGCACTGTAATTATTTATTAAAGACTTCTTTATGTAATTTTCCATTAAAGCACTGAAAAGAGAATATTAAAATTAAGACATGAATATTCATGCTTGCCAAGGCAAATTGGATGAGCCAAACTCTATCTTTTGTACACTTGGCTAGGACTCAAATGAATGAAAGGTACATTGGGCTTAGTGGAAATGTGCCTCTCCCTGCTTATTGGCAGGGTTGTTTATCTTCTGAGATTCTGCAGTGGGGTAGGAAATTTGGTATGGGGAGAAAAATCCAGTTCCTGAGAATTTTAGCATTCTTTAAGAGCTTCATGGCTTTACATGCTGAGGGTCCCAGGTTCATTCCCCAGCATTTCTGGTCACAGGAGTTCAGGTAGCAGATGAAATGAACCTTGAGAGCCACTCCAGTCAGAGTATACCAGTCTACCACACCTTGGTGCCCTCCACTAGTTTTGGATTTTGGTTCCCCTCAGTTGAAGCATAGAAGAGGAATTTTGGGGATTGTAGTGCAAAGCTCCTGGGGAGTACCAGGCTGTGTATGCCGTGCTAGGCTAGATTTACAAATAATCTGACATTGTATAAGGCCTTTTTCTATGTTCAAAAGACATGGTATGGAGAATACCTGCTGAAACCAGAAAAGCCAGTGGGATTGTTGGATGTACAGTGGTGCCTTGGCTCACAAACTTAATCCGTTCCACGACTCTGATTGCAACCCAAATTGGTCATGAGCGAAGTCAAATTTCCCCATAAGGTTCAAATAACGTTGATCCGTTCTGTAACTATTTTTTTTAAATCACAAAAATTTGAAGCAAAGCGGCAAAGAACAACAAAGATCATGGCCATCTCCCCCACCCCCCATGCATGACTGTGATCGTACCCGTGTTCGCTCCATGAGTGCGACTGCGGCCATAGACAGGCACAATTGCGACCGCGCTCAGGCAGGGAGGACTGGTGCGATCATGGCCATCTCCCCCACCCCGCCAGCACAATTGTGGCCATCTCCCCACCACCCCGAGTGCGATTGTGGTTGCACTTGTGCAGGGAAGACGGGTATGATCGCGATCATCACCCGATGCAGAGTTTGTCACCTGAGGCAAAATTTTTCTGAAATTTTTGTTCGTGACCTGATCTGCTTGTGAACTAAGGCATTCATGAGCCGAGGTACCACTGTAATTCCTTGTGGTCATGGTAAAGCTTTTGGGCCATGCCTAGCTTCTTGTTCTCCCCAAATCAGAAATATGCAAAATTATTTAAAAATACAAAATACATAGTACAAAATAAGATAAAATATATGTATGTGTGCAATTTGGATTACAGTGATACCTCGTTCACGAATGTCTCAGTTCACAACCAAATTGGTTCATAAACAAAAATTTTGGAAAAATTTTGCCTCTGTTCGTGGCAAAATTTTTTCGTGGCAAAACAGGTCATCAGGTGATGACCACGATCGCGGCCATGTTTCTGCACAAACACGATTGTGATCATGGCCATCTTCCCTGCACGAACACCATCGTGATCGCGGCCATCTTCCCCAGACAAGCACGATCGCGCCCATGTTCCTCACTCGCGGTCGCAGACAGACCTGTGGTCACTTGCTGTGACGCTTTTTAGAACATTCAGTACTGTAAGGTATTATTCAATAATAATATTGATTATTATAAGAAAGTGCAGAGCAAGCATGGTGGTAAGAAGAATGTGCAAAGCAGTAATGAAGGTGACCAAAACATGCAGATTTTTTTGCCAAAATTGACCCTGCAGCTAAGAGACAAAGAAGAGAGGAAATTGCTGAAGGAGATCTCCCCAGTGTTTTTATGGAGGGGGACTCTCCCTCCAAACAATAACCTCCCCCACCCCCCTGCCACCTAGGTTACTGTTCTCTACTGTACTGTAATTTGTTACTTTGTTGTTCTTTGTTACTTTATTTCAAATTTTTGTGATAAAAAATGTTTACAGAATGGATTAATCTTATTTACATTGAACCTTATGGGGAAATTTGACTTGGTTCACGACCGATTCGGGTCACGACCAGAATCATGGAACCAATTAAGTTTGTGAAGCAAGTTACCACTGTAATTCATTAAAGAGAGAGAGTTTAGCATTTGGACTAACTGGATACAGAATGTTAATTTTTCTAACATAATGTGCATGCACTGCCCTGCTTGTTGGAATTTATTTTTAAAATCAGATTGCTAAGATTGAAAATAACAACAAGATTTGAAACTCATGTTTCTTTTTGCAGATCCGCCTCATCTTTTCCCAGCATTCCACCCTCCTGTACCAATAGACGCCAGGCATCATGAGGGACGTTATCATTATGAACCATCTCCCATTCCTCCGTTGCATGTGTAAGTATGAACATTTGCAGCTCTTAACAGCACATATTAAAGAATCCTGGAAGAAAAGGTGAAAAGCGAAGGCTACTGCATGAGGCAACCTGTAGAAATATGCTATCTTGGTGTGCTAGCCCACCCACTGAAATGCTTTTTGGGACTCACACTATTTATAAGCAGTGTTCTCAACACACCAGGTGTGTATGGGCTGATTGTAATATGGGATAAAAAGGGAACTCTGTGCATGTTTAGAGGTGTTCCATTCCTGCCTTGTGCAATGGGAAGTAACTGGTGATGTTGGATAATTTATGCTGTTTGTGACCTTGATTCAATGTGATTTATACAACTAGAAGCTTGCAGAACAGGGGTGGTGCCAGGAGTCAGAATGATCCAAAACTTTGGCCCATGGGACAAATGCTGTTTGTGATTTGCAAATGCTGTTTCTCAAATGCTGTTTGTGAATGCTGTGATTTGCAAATGCTGTTTCACACAAATTCTAAAGTCTCTCTCTGTGTAATTTAAAGGAACCTGTCTCCTTAGAATACTTTTCTAAAGAGCCATTTGAGAGGTATTTGATTTCAGAACAAGAAAAAAAAACCTCAGGTGGGCAGCAAAAATGCACTGATATCCTACTTTACATGTTTTATAACTTTGTGCTGGTAGCCCCTTGAGGTAAGGACAGTAATAACATTTTGGACTATTTTAAACCTGTATCTGTGGCTTCATGAAATGTGGCCCTGGGTTTGTAACCATGGTACTGGAGCCATCAGGTCTTCTTTTGCCGCTCCTCACACTTTTGGTGTGGAGATCCCAGTTTGTTTTCAGACAGAGTTCCCCAACCTATCCAAGACAGGAAACACTGGTTTAATGTCTCTTAATTAATCAGGAGATTAAGACAGGATCTGATCAGCTAGAGAACAGGCAAATTGATAAATGTGGTTCAGCTTCAAGGCAAATTAAAGCTCAAGAAAGTGACATGAAGAGGACAAGTAAGTGGAGAAAAATGGAAATAAAACTTGCAGGTTTGGGATTAGAAACTGCAGGAAGACAAACCTAAGGCACTTCTTCCTATAGCCTTTTGCAATGTTTCCTTTGAAGTTGGGGCTAATGAGAGCAGGATAGCTAAATCACATCTAAACCTAACTCAGAATCTGTAGAACAGGACTGAAGTTTAATTTCTGATATGCACAAGGAAGGGTATAATTTTCAGCAACATGCACTGGGGAGACATGCCACCATGCTGCCTTGTGGTTGATTGACTCTCTGATTTGTGTTGTTGCAAAGGAAATGATGGCCTCATATGTATGCCGGTAAGGAAGATGGGGGTTGGGGTGGTTCCCCACACGTAAAAATTGTTTTCCATTTGTATCTAGGCACATACGCAAAATAATCCTACAGGAGCCTGTGGTGAACAGAAGTAATGCAAACCAGTTTTGAAAAGCACATTCTGATGATTAGCCAAGGGGTAGAAAATTTCCCACAGCTCTGATTTTTCATTCTTTGACCTGGTGCAGGTGCAATGTGGAGTCCAGCTTTGGCAACATTCTGTCCCTTTCTCACCCCATAAATTGTACCCCTCGTTTTCTTGCCTGCCATAACATTGCTTCTTCAATAAAGGTCATCATGGTTAATGTGCATCAGGTTCTCTTTTAACCTGGATTTGCAAAGCTACTTTAAACCTTCATTTCAAACCCTGATTAAGAGAGGACTGAATGGTTAACATTATGTATGAGTAGCACTGTGGTAGATAGAACAGTACACTATAGTGAAGATGGTAGGTAAGGGAAAAAAGAAGGAATGAAGGAGGAACACCCACACCTAGAATTGCCTGCCAATTTGCAAACTGCAGTGTTTAGGGGAGGGGGGATTACTTTACCTTTAAAAGGGTTTTCCACTACAATGAAAGGGGAAGATTTACTCCTGGAATGTCTAAAGTTTATCTGTCTGTGGGTTCGCTGAAGCAAAACAATGCCAGTGCCATAGCAGTGTCCCTGATAATAGATAGCTAGCAACGATCACCTATATATTTTGTTGACATTTATTCCATGTGTTGTCATTCTATAAATGCTAAATTAAAAGGTACCAAACCCTGTGAAATATCACTAGACAAACTAGGGGTAGTTTGTGTTGTCTGCCCCCCCCCCTTTCAGTTTCTCGATCAGGTTTGGAATTTTTCATTTCTAAAAACAACTAAAATGTCCAGTGTTTCACAAGTGAGCACTATGGCCAGTAGTGATTTTTAAAATTATTTTTGTGTAGGTTTTCATAGGCCCAAACTGTCTTATGCATGTTCACCCAACCAAAGCAGTAAATGTGACAGAGTACCACAGTTTACACTAAGCTAAAGAAAAAGACTAGTGATAGTATGCTTTAGAGAAAGGCAGTAAAGCTTATTGCAGAATTAAGCATTGCATTATTGTAGATGGAGAAAGGTATGTCAGCACCATGGAAGTAGAGGAAAATGTATCCAGTGTCTTGGGTTGTAAAATCCGGAAGAACTGCTATAATCCATTAAAACCCAAATCCACAAAGCTGGTTCAGTCCTTTGCTAAAAGGCTTGATATATACATTTAATCATCTCTAATAATCCCTTACTCGCAGTGAGGAAATAAAAGAAGAAAAGCACAAGTAATACTTTGAAGAATAATGCTAGTTGTTTAGATGGCAGATTGCTTCTCCATGGCTATTAGTTACAGCTGTGTAATTACGTATATGCTGGATAAAAAAAATGAAGTTGTTTTAAAACAAGTCTTCCACTGTGAGCAGAATTAATTGATATTAACAATCCTAACTACATGCCCAAGTTACACACACAATATTTTACCAGCAGTTATTTTGGATCAGTCTCTTAGCCAAATTGTAATTTCAGAAGAAATTGGCCTGAAGGCTAGCAATAAATCTGTGTTGCAGTCTTCCATGGGCATTAAAGAAGGAAACGCACCCCCCCCCCCCATATTTATAGTAGGGGAGGCAAAAGAGAAAAGGAGGCTTCCAGGAACTTGTGATTTATTTTTCCATTGAGGTTATTTGCATCTGTTATTATTTGGATTGTACTCAGTTGTGCAGTAAAATGAATTTGAATGGTCTGAATTAAAATTACTCAAAGCATTGCTTTTTATTTTTAAAGACACCCAGCGCTCTCATTGCTAAAGATCTGTAATTGCATCATGAGAATAATAGTATGCACAACTGGCTTGGCAAGAAGACCTCTGAATTTCTGTGCCCTTTTCTCAGCTTTATAGCATGAGCCTAAATGACCATGTTTAACTTCAGAAATAAATTCTGCAGAGTTCAGTGGGATTCATTCCATAGTGCTTAGCATTGTAGCCTGATACTTCCATGGTCTTTGTAGTTATCCTCAGGCTTCCATAAGACTAGCAAGATTGTACCCATGTGGAAAAAAATGTCCAGAGATTTTTAAGGGCTTTAATTCGACTCCACTACTTCAGACTGAAGGTGAGGGAGGCATTTTCTAATATTGTCCCCATCAAAAAAATCCTCCTCTCACAGAGCAAATTAGCATCTCCAGCAACATGGTCCAGCCTTCTTCACTTGCCATCTTTCTGTGTATAGCAAGGTTCTATCTGGGGGGAAAGCAGAGGTCAACAAATGTCAAAACTGGCCCCACCCCAGCATGAAGTGGTGCAATCCAGGAGAAAAATAACTTTTCTGTAGATTGTGTAAACTGGCCCACAAAGTGAGGAATTTATTCTCCTCAGTTTTCCTTTGCTAGACATGTAAATTGCAATCCTACTACCTCAAAAGCAAATCCTATCAGTGGGTTCAAAAGGATCACTTTGTGGGCCTAGCAAACAAACCACTTAGTCTTTGGCATGCATGACTTATGACCCAACAATACAAATACAACCCATCATCCATTAATGATGGCCCACCAGGAA